GGTTTGGCATTACCAGCCGATTGATGGAACCGGGCCCATTCTACCCTCCGTGAGGTGAAATAAGGGTCGAAGTGATGTATTGGGCAAAGGAACACTATTCTTGGAACCAGTTCCCTCAACCACCAGAATCCCTTCTTCCACACAGGGGCGCAACCCACGGCAGACAGGTTGCGGAATTCGGTCGCCTCTTACGTCTAGCAGTAGAATGCTGAGGACCTATTCTGTCCCAGCGGAAGAGGCAATAACGTTACCTAGCACTCGCTCAGAGGACGTTGCTCCTCACGAGTGCCTCCCTTGGCTGAAATCCTACGCAATCCTGGTACAGCTGCAGCTGTAGAAATGGCCGTGATGAGTCTATCACGTTAGTGACGAACCTGTATGAAACTGTCCTGAGCTGCAGTTGGGACAAGTATTGAAGATGATCTGGGTAGGTCACGTGTTGACCTTGTTCAAAGCCTGGATCCGTCATAGTCACAGTCCAACAATTCATGTTACACGCTCATTACATGTTGGTGAAGTTGTATTATCACATGGTCGGGATTTTTGGTCTGTACTTTATTTTATCTGCACAAGAATTTAGCTGCAGACATATAACCATACAGCTATACACATTATACATGCGTTTAACACATGCCACATAGACAAAGGAATAAATTTAACTTTGCTTTACAAGATAGTGGTGTACAAAGATTGACATACCACATGGTATTATCCCAAATATATTCTGTGAATTTAAGGAGGCCCTTCCTTGACAGTGTTAAGAGGAATGTTAAATATTTCAGACAGTGATTTGGTGGTACATTTGCTAGACCCAGTAACTTTTTTCAGTGTGTATGGATTCTTATGTAGGTTTTCAAAAAATACAAAAGGAGAATTGGCATGACTACTGGTTCTAGAGTCAAGCCATCACTGCTGCTGTGATTTGGTGAAAATCTTACTCATTAACATACATCAATAATTATCAGTTACAAAAGACATGTTACATGTCTTTTATGGCCGATTGCATAAAATAAATGCCATTTGAAAAGGTATAACATAACCCTAAATAAACATTTTGCATGCTTTTTGACACCTGAAGATCACACACCTAACATTGAAAATTGAAGAACGGTTGATTATTCTCTAGCCACTTAATGTTGTAGAAAACACGTTATTTTCAACCTAAACTGAGCGTACGTCATGCCACAACTTACAGAAAATCAACGTCACGTCAGCAGGACAGCCACATTCGACTGACCCATCTAAGGAATCGATTCCTAAAGCCATATTGACTTCTCGGACCATTATGTCCAATCAGTTCGAGGACTGTACGGAACTGACTAAGGGAGCAAAACATACGACGGCCTCAAACGTCACTGACAGGCACGTCTTGCCTCGTCAGGCAGCATCTACGGTACAGGAGACAAGATTGGGATGGTGTTTTGTTCACTGACGAGTAGAGATTTCTTCTGGACAGCTCAGATGGCAGGACATGGGTATACAGATGACAAGGTGAAAGGTATGCTGACGCGTGCCTTGCTCAGTGTCGACAGTTTGGGGGCGGAGCCGTTTGGGGAGGCATCACACTTCATGGTGGGACACAACTTGTCATTGTCAATGGCGATCTGGCAGCTCTGCGACACAGGGATGAGATGATTGGGCCTCATTGTGCAGCCGTTCATTCAAGGACAGAGACGTAACTTCACGCTTCAGCATACTCATGATGTCTATCACTGGATGCCTGGTGCAAACACATGTTTCCATGTGTTATGAAGAAATGTCATTGTTTGGAATAAAAGGCGTACTTTGTTGGACGAACTAGCACCCATTTTTTATGTCGGAACTTACAGGGGTGTCCGTAATAAGAACAAATTCTATAAAGTTTGAACGGCATGTTTTCTTTCTAGTCTCTCTCTGGACCATGCACTCAAAGGACATGTCCCAACAGCAACAGATGTGAAGTTAGTCGACTGGGTCTTGCAAGATGTGTTCCAGGTAACCAATGTTTTCCCAATGCCTCAACTACCTTTGGCAGATGCATACATTAGGGTATTATTACATAGGTCTAGTTAGCGATACTGTAAATTCGTTGGATTTGCCTTCCTGATTTGTAAACTGACATAAGGAATTTACATTATGGTCAACAGAGTGAGTGAGTGAGTTTAATTTTACGCCGCAATATTCCAGCTATAGGGCGGCGGTCTGTAAATAATCGAGTCTGGACCAGACAATCCAGTGATCAACAGCATGAGCATCGATCTGCGCAATTGGGAACCGATGACATGTGTCAACCAAGTCAGCGAGCCTGAACACCCGATCCCGTTAGTCTCCTCTTACGACAAGTATGGGTTACTGTAGATCAATTCTAACCCGGACCTTCATGGGTTATGGTCAATAGAAGAAAATGAAGACTTCAGAATGATATAGAAAAACATTCCCTTCCTGCCTTGGCATTTTACAACTTTGATAGCTATTCATGCTGACGTAACACCTGGAATACATACACAATGACAGATCGAATGATCAAAAACACACTTATCCCATTTTGGCGCATTCTAATTCAAAGCTATGTGATATATTTCTGAAGACTTCCAAGGATGTGGTCATCCCCCGAATGTAAGAGACGCCAACGCCACGTATAACGGTCACTACCAGGGAGCTGTAACTAAATACTCCAGGTATTCCTGTGACCCTGACTTCAGAGCCTGCTACAACACTGTTACCAGCACTTGCCAGTCATCTGGAGCATGGGAGAGTTTACCCGGTCTTTGTGAACAGTTCAGGTGGTACAATCTGGTAAGATACTTTTTTGTCTCAGTATTTCTGTTGTGGTAAACATGAAGATGCTTTCGTAAGGGGCAACAAAACGAATCGGCGGTCAAGTCAAGGCATGGGTTGGCTTTCCCAACAACAGAATTGTGAAATGCATGAATTCCATTGCTCCAACTCGAGTGATCATTTAGACATTAAAGTAAACCAGATTCACGTTACACATCAAATCATGTCTGTAATTATGAAAACGCGCGTACGCTTATTGAGAAAATTGTTTTTATATTTGCAGCAGATAAATGACAGGTATTCATTTCCGTGTGTTCCTTCAAGCAAGTTCAAGCTGAAAATCAGAGGCACACCGACTAAAAATACAAGGTGACCTATGCTGACCTGTTCATTTCACGTCGGAAATATATTCTTTATGTTTCATAATATTTTGTCACATCTATTTAGATATTTCATTCTTCAAAATGACAGTATCTGACCAAACCTGAGACGTAACAAAAATCGTACTTGCAGAACTAATTTGTAAATTCGATAAATAGTAGTGTAGTGGTTAAGAGCGTCCGCCCGGAGAGCTGAAGGTCGCGGGTCCGATCCCGGACCGCGTCATACCAAAAGGCGTTAAAATATGGTACTTGTTGGTCCCTGCCTGGCGCTCGACATTAATGGGTACAACAAGGACTGGTCGGCTCGGAGAGTCAGTATAATGTGTCTGAGTGGGGTATTCATGCTTCACTGCGGCATGGTATCTCAGTGGGCTAGCACTATAAAACCAGCTTAAGTCTGGGATAGTACAAGCAGCCCCACATACACATACACACGCATGCACGTCGTCATATGAGCGAAATATTCTCAAGCACGACGTAAAACCCAATTTCACCTCACAACTTTGAAAAACCTATTTGTGGTCATTGTCAGGCATTTTCTTTTTTTACCTTTAACGAAGATTTGTACATCTGAAGTTATTTGTTGAACGAGTGTAGATTCAGCTTCATAAGGATACTTTGAATGTTGACCTTTTCTCCTGACCACACTCTCAAAATCCATTTTCGGCTCGGTAAACAGCCATCTCACGCTTTCAAACAAATATTCGATATGGAATTATATAATTAAACGATCCTCGTTTATCCGGACAATTGGGCTTTTCCAATAGTGTCTGGTCAAACAATATCAGGATATCTGAATCCCTTGCAACTGATCTAATCTTTGTTCTATTTTGAAGGCACCCGTGAAGAGCCACCTCCTCGTGGTGGGTGCTGGGTAACGCTAAGCGCTCTTCGACCCCCCGTTGTGGACCCGGGGGGATATTTGGTCCACCAACCCGTTTGCCGTGGGTTGCGCCCCTGTGTCGGTGGAGGACGGGATTCTGGTGGTTGAGGGCAATAGGATCCTGGAACCGTGTTCCTTTTGCCCAACACACCACTTCGGCCCTTACTTCACCTAGACGGGTGGTAGAACTGGCCCGGTTCTATCAATCGGCTGGTCACGCCAAGCCCTGTGCGTGGTAAATATATTATTTGCACATATACTTATTTTGGGGCTTTGGATATGTTGATCCTCAATATACAAATTATTCTTATGTTGCATTGCCTAGAGTCCTATGCCAGAAGGCGGTGGCTCATGGGCCAATCTGGTGATGTTGACCGCTGAATTCTGTGTGTCTTTAGATTTTTGTTATGGGCCGAACCAGCTTGACAACTGATCTATTTGACAAATATAGCTATTCATGTCATATTTGCTGACACCCCCTGAGTATGACACCCCTGTATCCCTTGTGTTAGCATCCTGGAGATCCGGTGCGAATCGACCCCATCCTTGTTGACACTCCATGGTGGGTGGGGAACAGGGGTGTTGAAACATTTCCTTTCATCATGGCACTATTACATTCTGGTTCATCTCGTAGTGAGAAGAAAAGGCGTTTTGAGGATTTAGATCCTTCAAGTGGAAGCATTACTCCAAACAATGATTCTTGGGCTCGATTTTTGGTGATCGAGGCTGCTGATTTTTTACCGATCAAGCTTAACCCATTTGCTGTTTCAAAGGCTGTATCTGGGATTTGTGGTGAGGTTAACAACGTCACCCGGCTCCGTACTGGTTCACTTCTTGTGGACTGTGCACGGAGGCAGCAATCTCTAAATTTGTTATCGATCAAAACATTTGCAAATGTTGAGGTTGCTGTGTCGGTGCACAGGACACTGAACTCTTGTCGAGGCATTGTTCGTGACAGGGCTCGTTGCCTGTCCGACATGTCTGAAGAGGAAATCACTGCGGAGTTGAAGGAACAGGCGGTAACAGCAGTTAAACGCTTCACAATAAAGAAAGATGGTATCACTGTAAATACCAACACGTATCTCATGACATTTGCTCGTTCCACCCTTCCAGCATCAATCAAAGCAGGTTATCTCAATATCGGAGTGGAGGTGTATGTCCCCAATCCTCTCCGATGCTACAAATGTCAACGATTCGGCCATGGTTCCAACTCATGTCGAAACTCTGTGGTTTGTTATCGTTGTGGTGACAACCACGAGAGCACTGACTGCAAGAAAGACTTCAGATGCTGTAATTGCGATGGCACCCATGCCGCATCATCAAAATCTTGCCCTGTATGGCAACGAGAATCTAGCATCATGAAATTGAAATGCCATAATAACATATCTTACCTGGAGGCAAAGAAGCTATTTACAACACAGTCAATAACTCCATCGATGGTAACTTATTCTGCAGCAGTGTCTCGATCTATGACAACGTCATCTGTATCTTGTCAAACCGACTTGACTTGGATCCGGACTGAAAAACCTGTTGCTTCAGCCGCTCCACCAAAATCCCCAGTCACTCAGTCAACGTCTGCATCTCAGACAGAGAGTCAGCCTGAGATACCCTCACAGATGTCTATTAAGCAGCCAGTTCCTATTAACTCAACAAAAGGAAAGCACAAAGGAAAAAAACAGAATAGAAAAGAATCAATCACCATCCCTTCATCTCCAGAGGTTACTTTACAGAACTCCTTTGAATCTCTTGACATGGAGGTTACTCTGTCCTCCCAGGACAGGCGGAAAAATAGTTCCTCCTCACATTCACGTGAAAGATCGCCCATTGAACCACCATGACACAGTTGTCACATATCCTGCAGTGGAATTGTAGAGGACTGAAAAATAATTTCAGTGAAATGCAATTGCTGATACAGGACTTTCAGCCAGCAGCGTTATGTCTCCAAGAGACATATTTAAAAACTACTGATACCTTTACTTTGAGACAGTACAGCGATTTTCATTCTTTTTCTCCTCCGGGAGATCGAGCAACTGGAGGCGCTTCTATTTTGGTTCACCAGAGCGTCATACACAGCCCTGTCACTCTAATTACGAATCTTCAAACTGTTGCTGTTCGTCTGACTCTACACATTGCTTTGACATTGTGCAGTTTGTATATCCCTCCATCTTCCGATATTCGACAATCAGATCTTCAAAATCTATATGATCAGCTTCCCAAACCATGTATTATCATGGGTGATCTGAATGGACACAATCCGCTTTGGGTAAGTGTTCATACTAATAATAAGGGGAAAATCCTCGAGGAATTTATTTCAGATAATATTTTATGTATTTTTAACACTGATTCATCCACCTATTTACATCCAGCTACGGGAACATATTCTTCCCTGGATTTGTCACTCACCGAATCCACCTTATTTAATGAATTTGAATGGATGGTCCATGATGACCTATGTGGTAGTGATCATTTCCCCACCATTCTCAAAAACATCAACCCTGGTGATGATCCTCCTTCATCAAGAAGGAACTTCGCCAGGGCTGATTGGTCATTATATGAGGCTTTGTGTGTCGACCATTTAAATCATGAAGTCTTTGCGAACAGCGACGACCCTATACAATTGTTTTCTGATATCCTCAATGACATTGCTGATCAAACTATACCTAAGTCCTCTGCAATTCCACATATTCGTAAACCATGGTTTACTAATGACTGTAAACAGGCCAGAAAGAATAGGAAGAAAGCTGAAAAGTATTTTCGGCGACATCCTACAGTTCATAATTTAGATAAAGTAAAACTTTTCAATGCTAAGGCTCGACGCACTTTTAAACAGACTAAGCGTCAGTCTTGGAGGAACTATGTTTCCAAAATTAATTCCCGTACACCTATGTCAAAGGTGTGGAATATGATACAAAGAATTAAGGGCAAAGGTTCCAAATCTACTGTTCACCATCTGAAGGATTGTGATACTTTATTAACAGATAAGTCTGATATTGCCAGCAAGATTGGTGAAACTCTCGCCAAACATTCTTCTTCGTCAAATTACGTCCCGGAATTTCAACAATACCAGAAACAACAGGAGAAGAAGAGAATAAATTTTAACTCAGACAATGGCGAAGACTATAATGAATTATTTTCATTACATGAGCTCCACACTGCCCTTGAGCAAGCTCGTGATACAGCAACAGGAGCTATTCCAAAGCCTGGCCGGGATCATACTGATCCGTCTAATTACAGACCAATCTCTTTAACGAGTTGTGTCTGTAAAACCATGGAACGAATGATAAACAATAGATTAACATGGTATCTTGAAACCAATAACCTTATTACAAATATTCAATGTGGTTTCAGGAAAAATCGTAGTACCATTGATCATTTGGTACGTTTAGAATCCTTTGTTAAAAATGCATTAGTAAATAAACAACATGCAGTATCGATATTCTTTGATCTCGAGAAAGCGTACGATACCACCTGGAAGCATGGCATTTTAAAGGATTTACATGATTTTGGTTTAAGGGGTCGTTTACCTCTTTTTATTTCACAGTTTTTAAAAGACAGGCAATTTCAAGTCCGAGTGGGTTCAAACCTGTCTGACCATTATAATCAGGATCAGGGTGTACCACAAGGCAGTATTTTGTCTGTCACATTGTTTAGCATTAAGATCAACAGTTTATCCAAGGTTTTAAATGATTCAATTGATGGATCACTTTTTGTGGATGATTTTAATATTTCTTGTCGCGGTAAGAATATGCATACCATTGAACGGCAACTACAGTTGTGTTTAAACAAAATAAATAAATGGTGTCTTGAAAACGGCTTTAAATTTTCTAAATCAAAACTAATTGCATACATTTCTGCCGTAAATATAAACCACATAAAGACCAGAACTGTTTTAAATGGCACTCCCATCAGGGTTGTAAAAGAGGCCAAGTTCTTAGGTCTCATTTTCGACTCCCATTTAACTTTTCTTCCGCATATCAAATCTCTAAAAACTAAATGCCTGAAGGCACTCGATTTATTGAAAGTCGTGTCTAATTCAAGGTGGGGAGGGGATCAAGCTACGCTCCTACACCTTTACAGATCACTTGTCCGCTCGAAGCTTGATTATGGCTCCATCGTATATGGTGGAGCCTGTAAAAGCAACCTAAAACTCTTAGATTCAGTCCACCATCAAGGTCTGAGACTTTGTCTTGGGTCCTTCAGAACTTCTCCTGTTGACAGTCTTTACGTCGAGGCAGATGAACCTTCTCTTAACCAACGCCGTATAAAATTATCATTGCAATATATTACAAAATTATATTCTAACGAATCTAATCCTGCATTTTTATAACAAAAAATCTTCTCTTGTTCCCTCTCTTGGGCTCAGAATTCAGCCATTTATTGCTGCTGCCGGCATTGAGCTGCAAAATATATCTCCTTCCCGTCTTCTTTCTTCTCCTCCTTGGCAATTGGTTAGGCCACAGGTCGACCTCACATTGACTAAGTTTAAGAAACCAGAAAGTAACCAATTGCAATATAAACAAGAATATAATCAATTAAAAAGTAAATATAATACATATAAATCCTTATTTACAGATGGGTCCAAGGATGGTGGCGCGGTTGCTTGTGCCACCGTCATTGGGTCCAAAACAATATCTTCCAGATTACCCAATGACAGTTCAATTTTCACAGCAGAAGCAAACGCAATACTAACAGCTCTTAAATATATTAATAAACACCGTAAATATAAACAATATATCATCTTTTCAGATTCTCTTTCGTGTCTTCAGGCTATTAAAAATCTTTCTTGCAAACATCCACTTTTATTAGAAATTATTGAATTGTATAATGAGCTTGCTACTGGCCAATGCGACATCGTCTTTTGTTGGTTACCCAGCCACGTTGGCATTTCTGGGAACACAATGGCTGATATTGCTGCTAAGGCAGCACTCAACAAATCTGTGACACCACTTCTTATTCCTTACTCTGATTACAAGGCTTGCATTAGAACTTACATACGTGATCTGATGCAGAAGAAGTGGGACACCCAAGCAGGTATTTATAAATTACATGCAATAAAACCAACTATCGGTTACACTTACTTGGGTTGTCAGTCCAGATTTGAAGAGGTCATTATACGACTATGTCGTATTGGTCACACCAGATATACTCATGAATACCTGTTAAAAGGTGAGGATCCTCCGTTTTGTATCCCTTGTGATGAAAGAATCACGGTCAAGCATGTCTTGCTTGACTGTGTTGAATATTCCATCACAAGGGATATCTATTTCAAATCACGAACTATGAAGGATTTTTTTAGTAATATAAGTTCTCATTTAATTATTGCATTTTTAAAAGAATTAGATTTGTTGACTGATTTGTAAATAGATACATATTTTATTATTGGTAATTTAAATTAGTAACTGAGATTGTTAGTGGCTGTACCCTCAAAGGGGGTTGAAGTATTGTAAAATTATTGTCCTCCTGAGAGGGTACGTAAGTCCCAAAACATTTCAAGTACATTTAAGTATACCAGGTGTTTTAATCGTAGTATTTTTGTCATTTTAATGTATGGCTAATTATCGGTATAAACGCCAATGGCTGAAGGGATGGAGTAAATCCAGCTAGGGTCCATGCAGGTAGCAAAGGTAATGTAAGTCCCCATGGGCCTTAGTATGGTGATCTACCTTCAGTTGTTGGCGATCTATAGCCCATTTTTACATTGTATTGCCTTCTTTAATTGGAATATTTTAGCTTTGTTCGCTAGTTTTATATTCATATCTGTGATTATCTAGTATTTTTACTGTCCTTCGTCGGCAGGTTTTTATAATATCTATATATATTGTATTTCAATGTCAAATGTTCTCGTCACGATATGGCTGAAATATTGCCGATGTGACGTTAAATTTTAACTCACTCACTCACTCTATTTTGAATTTTAACCTTTTCGCTTGGCCACGCTTTCAAAATGCTTAACTGCTCTTTGAAATTAGTTTCTATTCGTAATTTATTGAAAACATTCGGATATCCTTATTGCAGAACTGGCTGCCTTTGTTGACTCTGTATTCTGTTGACTACATATATAGGAGAGCTACAGTACCGTGGCACTCCTTCCGAAAACATTTTATGTGGAATTTCTGATACAGTCTCACTTATTTGGTTACTCAAATATTCCCGAATGAAACAAATATCCGGATATATGAATTCCTTGCCAACTGATGTTTACCTTATGCGCATGAGCGCATTTTCACAAATGTTAAAATCGTTATGCAGTTCCGCTATTGCAAGACTATCGACTCATTCATTTCTTTCAATGTTCTATTAAAGATGGAGTATCGGGATACACAAACAAGCAGATGCTGTACTCTACATAGAGTTTCGCCTCTCCTTTTCGACTATTGGAATAGTCGTTATCAACACGAACATAGATACAAAATGGGGCACGGAGGTGCGGGCAAATCTAAAAATGGCTGTTTGGCAAAACAACGATGTTGAAATAACCCTTCAAGATGGTGTATACAGGGTATGTATGGCAAACAGAGAAGAATAGATGACACAACGATTTTCTTTACTTGTAAGCAGTCGAATCTCTTCACAAGAAATATATAACTCTATTTCCCGGTTCATCGATTACTTGTGTGGTTTGTTCACATGCAGCCATGACATGGCAGGAGTTACTGCTGTGCGGCGGCGGCGGCGACTGTATATACGTGTTTAGATTGATTGTGTGAATAGCGGGGACTATTTCGGGGCCTTTTCGTAGACACCTGGCGCCATCACTCATATCTAATGGTCAATTTACATGATTTTTACAGATATTCTCAACTTTACACCAAATGGAATCCTGTGTTTGAGGATATCA